CGCCATACAAAACCAGAGCAAGGGCAGCGGCAAAACGTCGTTACTGTAGGTTTTAAGTCAACCGACTTCCGGACGATAGCTGGTTACATTAATATTGCTTCAGATCAGGATAGACGTTATGCGAATCGCCAGCGAAAACTGCTCACGAGAGGGAGGCAAATGATGAGAAGTCGGAAAATGCTACTAACAAAGCAAGCCTAACGGCATTCCCCGAAGAAACGATTCTCTCAATAAATCGTTTGCGGCACACAAGTCATTACAGTTACCTGTACTAAACTGGATTTGCTTTGCATAGCCTTTCCAGGGGTTCTGTCGATGGGAGCTCTTTTCGAAGTATTGTTTTGAGCCACAAGCAAATTGTAAATCTCGACTGTCCAATATCGACTGTAACAGAAAATTCTGTTTTCAACGACTATAGAAACCATGGAGATTTCCAGCAATTGAGCGCGAAAAAGGAACAGTTACAAATTCTACCGCTATCGTACTCATAGTCAGTGTAGAATCTCGAAACTGCTCCCGCCAGATCAATCAAACCTTCCATCCAAAGTCTTATGTTCGATACAGAGTTGAATAATGGAGTGGACTGACTTGTTCATCGGCTGATCCTAGCAACTTGCTCAAAATTGAACTACTATCCACACCTACTGCGATTTCAAACGAAGATTGAGTGCACGGCGCATCCCATTTCTGAAGGCTTTATATCCCGCTAGAGAAGGGGATGCTAGTTGTTATTTGAAGGAAATATGTCTTCATATTGGCAACTAAATCGCGACTGTTGAACATTTGATTCATAGTTCAGTGGTCGGTCTCATGGACCTGCTACTAACGGAACCTCCGCGAATAAATTAGTGGATAGCTTCTTAGTACAGATATTACATTGAATAGGGTCAGTCTATATGTCGTGCCTGTGGATCGAGTCGAGACGATTGCAACGGAGTGCGGTAAATGTGGTTCAGCGAATGCCCACAGTGTCTTGGAAAGAAAAAATGGTGCGTTTTGGAATGCCTGGAAACTCCTTCCTACTGCGACTTCGTGAGCAAGACCTCACTAATTGACTTCAACAAGGCGCGCTGGCGCGCGAATCCGTAGATCTTGCAAAACATGTTCATATACGGATGGTGTCAGACTTTGCGAGTGTGGGAAAGTGCGATGTCGATCTCGCCACTTTCTCACACTCCCCTACTTGTGTTGTTTTTCTCCATACTATTCTTTACCACAAGGGCGGAAGTGGTGTAGTGGCAAGTGGCACGCTTACCACGCGAGCGGTCCGGGGATCAAATCCTGGGTCGTGAGTCGCCCGGGCCAACCAAGCCTTCCATCCCTCCGGGGTCGGTTAATTGGTACCAGACTTGTCTGGGAGGATAAAAACACTGACTTGTACATCGGCTGGCCCCCGCAAGTCATTGTATAGGCCACATCGCATTCAAACGCCACTACGAAATGTACAAATGGAAGTAGAATGCGTGCCGCATCCCAAAAAGGGATTGATCAACGGCAAATGCTTTATCCTTTTATTTTTATTATTCTTTACCATTTCAAAAATTTATAGCATCTTAGAAAGGAATGCGTGCTCCATTCAACATACTAGGTTGTCCCATAAGTTTGTGCCACTTTTTTGCACCGCACGTCAGAACTTCATTTAGGGATTTCTGAATATGACCGAGCAGGCTATGAGAGCTCATTTGTTGCGTAACCTACACTATGGTCGCATTAGCTGATTACTTCGAGTGCGAAATCGAGAAAAGAGGACATGTTTTTTATGTTCGGATTTATGAACTTCTACTGAGCCACAAATCGGTCGATGCTAGGAGTTAATGTTACGTGCATCTCACAAGTTGATGCCGACCAACATTTTATTGATGTTCATTCTAAGATACATCACAAAGCAACCACCGAGAGGCAAAACGGAGCGCGAAAGCGCACAGAGCAGAAAAAGCCCTCTAATCTCCCAATACAATCATTTTATACCCACACTGTTCCTATGCTCCGCCTATCGTGAGTTTCCTCACGACACTCCCGCGCCGGGGTTTCCAAATAGCGAAATTTTGTTACGAGCGGAAAACTCTTCTGACCGAAAGTCGATGAGCAAGCACCGGCCAACATCAGTAAGTCATCCTCACCGTCCATTCTGCCGAGATTCACAGCTGGGCTGCGACCTCACAGTTGGCCCTCGGTTTTATTGTGCGAAAAATGGTGAACTTTGTGGGGACCCCTCCGGCGCCGAGTAAAAGCAATAGGCGTGAAATCGACCTCAATTGCATAACAAATAGCATACATAACCGTGAAATCGACCTTGATACACAATCAATACGATTCAAAAATGACAACATACAACAGCAAGGAAGTACTTGATTTCCATTATTGTTGTTGTTAAACACTCCGTTGTAGCCATTGTAGCCAGAGAATTCATTTGAGCGATGCTGTAAATAATGTCATGAATGTCGCTCTTTTTTTGCTTTTACGACTTCCGACTAATCAAATTCGGTGCGTGGAAGCGTGCTTAGGTGAGAGTTGCGCGTGTTGTTTACGAGTTCAGTTCTCAAGCGCCGGATGTTCATATAGCGCGCCGCCTAATTTGGAAACATGTATGTGCAAAGAGCTGACACATGTGTTCGCGGATTTCTGCCGCGCTCCTGGCTACAATAGTAACACGGTACCAGCTGACAGTACCCGCCAGGCGCAAGGTGCTGTTGAAAGATGAAACATGAAACAGAAAAAAAACAGATGTGTAATTCTTGCATGCGTGTACGTCGGGCGGACACTGTAGGGTAAACATCGCATTCCCGTAGCGAATGCATGACTGTCTGATCCGCAAAGTAACTTACAACGGCCGCGTTTGATGAGAGGGGGTCCTTGCAGTTCCGATGTCTTCTCTGCCTGGTCTCGGTTCGCTTGCGAAGAAGTTTGGAAAATAGAAGGTCCTGGCGCTATCGTGAGTAATGCTTGCAACTGGCTTTCAACCATGAGGATGTTGTCCTTTGCTTTTTGCGATGACCTAAAAAGTTCGAAGGAATCAGAACATTGTTGGGAACATTATGCTATGCCTCACTAACCCGGAGGCGACGTCTCCGTCGTTTCCCCAAGCGTGACCAATTTTGAAAAGCTAACATCGCTATCGTCTTCTTGAAAAAAGGACAGGAAGTAGCTATGTTTTACGAGGTGATTACAGTATTGCCCACCTCCTTCTCCATTGCATCTCGTCGGAGAAAATCGAGTTCCGATGTAAGTTTAGTGACGGTTTCCTTGATGAATTCGATCGAGTTAGCCAATGCTTCCTCTTTACGATCCTTGACTACCGGGGATTGATGGCCGAGGAATCCGAATCGTGCTCCATGCCGTAGTGCCATTCTAGAAATGCAAGTTAATGTTTCGCGAAATTTCGAACATAAATCTTATATAACGAGTGAACTGCGTATACGGCGAGGCGAAAAGGAAGTTTTATGAGCTTCAGCATTGCGATCACTGGAATGAGACATGGAACATACGAAAATATCAAAGAACATGCCGAACCGTTGCGCGATGAAGGCTGTTTTAAAGAGGACGAACATAATGTTAGTATCATAGCTAGTAGTACAAATGGCGTAACGAAAATCATGAAGGAGTACACAAAGTACTTTCTGATGACTCCTAAAAGTACGGAAATATCAGGAAAGAAAAATTCTGACTCATCATCAGGTTCCGAATCTAATTTTATGAGTTGCGAGAAATAAGGAGAAATGGGTGAAATGACGAATAAATTGTAGAGTTCCAGCGAGTTCGAGTATTACTGTATTGGAACCACAACGAGCCTTGCATATTTCCTTAATCTGGGCAACAGAGAAGGAAAAGCATACGACCGTTGTTTTCGGATTCTGTGAACAGGGTATAGCGAACGAATGAGTGGCGCAATCTATTTGGGCTAGAGTGGGATTAGGAATCCTAACGGATCAAAATTGGAGTGGATAGTGCGAAGAACACTGCGTTTTGTTGGATTATTCTGAAATTCGAGTTTCGACTGTACTAGTAGGTGGTCCTTTCCCGTATCCCAGAGAATGCCCAATAGTTTTACCTTTGCAGCATTCGATCTATCCTTTTCCGGGAAGCGAGACCGTAGCTGAACTGAGTTCGTTGCGAATTCTCTTATGTTCATCGACATATCCTTCGAAAATAGTTTTTACTCCCGCATGTCCGCAGGGTCAGCTGCTTTGATCTTGCGCCGCCATAACAGTCTGTCTTCGGTGTCTCTGGGCCTGAGTTGCAGCGAGGCCATATCTTTCTCGATTCTGTCCATCCAACGAGTCTTTGGTCTACCTCTCGGCCTGCATCCTTCAACCTGCATATCGAAGGCACGTTTGGCCACGGATCCTGAATTGCTACGCATCACATGACCAAACCATCGTAAGCGGCTTTCATCGACATATTTTCGAAAATTTTTTTTACTTAAATTGTATTTCGACTCGCCTCTTCTACTGTGTCCGCATTGAGGATCATGTTATCTACGTAAAGATTCCGAGCAATCTCCTTACATAACGCTTTATTACTATTTCTTTCGAGCATAAATTTTATAGACATCGCTAACAACGAGGGACTTGTCTTGGTGCCGAATGGCACTCTTGTAAAACGAAGTTCACGTATATTTTCGAATGTAGGTGGTCTTGAGGTATCTTTTAACCATAGGAAACGTGTTGCATTACGTTCTGATTCTTGAAGGCGGATCATATGAAATGCTTTTTCGACATCCCCTATGATCAGGTGGTTTCCGAATGAGGATACCCAGGAGATCTGGAAGAATAGTTGGTCCTTTGTAAAGTACGTCATTCAGCGATAATTGGCCTACTCTTTTCGAGCTGGCGTCGAGTACGATTCTTACTTTTGTAGTGGTGCTTGTGGGTTTCACCACTGCTTGGTGAGGAATATAATATATGGGGCAGTCATTGCCTTTATCGGATTTGGGAACGTCTTCTATAATATTGCGTTCGAGTTGTTCGTCGATTATTTTACAGTAAGCCGACCAAACTTCATTATTTTTGCGTAAGGATTATATAATTGGTGAAGCTGACTTTGTAGTTGTCACTGAAGTCCATTCTATTCATTTTCCAAGAGAATTTCACGAATATTTCTTTATCCCTTATTTCGATAGTGTCGTAAAAATTCTGTAGAATTTCCTGATTTTCGTCCGACTCCGATATGGGGTCAGTTATTCCGAAATTTTCGAGGGCCCACATTGCGGAAAGATCGAAATTTTCGTGTTCTGGTTGCGCTAACGACAGGAATGCATTGCTTGTCAGCCAGTTTTTTGATGATGCGTCGGCATTTCCCATTCCCGTTATAACGTGGCCAAAGAATGTAGGCACGGCGAGTAACCCGGAGGGTAACGTGATGCTAGGTTCCGAAGTATTGATAACGTCATTGTAATGATCAATGCCAATCAAAACTTCTGGGAAGATTTTGACATCTGACGTATTTAATAGATGTGCATCAACGTTATTACGGAGTATATAGTTGATATCCATTTTCGACAAACGAGGAATCGTTATTTTGTCAGTTAAAGTGTTCGTGGTGAGAAATTTCATGGGAAGGAGTTTGCCTGTTATTCCGATAGCGTCCGCAGACACCTGTTGCGAACGCTTGCGTTCCTGTTTCCCTCCGAAGGTGGAGACGAGACAAATAGTCTTTTGAAGGAGGGTAACTTTAACCTCTGCGCAAGGGAAGTGGAGATGAAACTCCGAGTAGCTCCCGTATCGAA